CTCTTATCCCGGGCTATTCCTAACCCCCATATTATATTCTTTGTAAAAAAAAAACTTTTTTTTCTTCAAAACACATTGTTACATTTTTTTTCTCTTGTCTCCCATTTTTTTCTCCCTATCCCTCATTCACAGTCACTTTTGTTTCATCATTTCACCAAACAACCTTTTTTATACTTTCCATTCATGTAACACCACATACAGGTAGTCCTCGACTTAAGACCACAATTGAGCCCCAGATTTCTGTTGTTCAGTGAGACATTTGTTAAGTGAGTTTTGCCCCATTTTATAACATTTCTTGCCACCGTTGTTAAGTGAATCACTGCAGTTGATAAATTAATAACCTGGCTGTTAAGTGAATCTGGCTTTGTTGCAAAAAGGGATCACATGACCTTGGGACACAGTAATTAACGGTCATAAGTATGAACCAGTTGTCAAGCATCTGAATTTTGATCACATGATCACGGGAATGCTTCAAAAGTCTTAATTGTCAAAAGTGGTCATAAGTCACTTTTTTTAGTGCCGTTGTAACTTTGAACAGTCACTAAATGAACTGTTGTTAGTTGAGGATTACCTGTAGTTCTATAGCCCAGACTTTTTATTTTCAAGTAAAAAGAATTATATTCTGTGCTTGTTTAAGAACAAGTCGGAGAAATGTTGGAAGTGTCATCAGATACCTGAATCATACTACCATATGTGGTGGACGTGTGCAGAGGATAAAAGATATTGGACTAAAATCCACACACGGTTGGAAAAAAATGACAAAAAAACACACAGATTTAAAACCAGATATATTTTTATTGGGCATCATACCTGAAATATACAGTAGAGAATTGTTATATTTGATTGTAAATGTATTAACAGTGGTTAGAATTGTATTTGCTAAAAACTGGAAAAATGAGAAAATTCCAATGGAAGATGAAGTTATTAAGAAAATCATGGAGTGCTCAGAAATGAGTAAATTGACATTTGAAATTAGAGAGCAAGAAGATAAACAATTTTATAAGATATGGGACTTATTTTATCAATGGTTAGATTAAAAAAACAGGGAAATGAAATATTTTACAATACTCTATAATATAACTATAATAGAATTCGAGAGATAAAGTAATGTAAGAATAGACTACTATTGAATGGATTGGTGATGATAAAATGAATATTATAAAGTAGGTTAAGTAAAAATGGTGAATCGCTCATATAGAATGATAGAATATTAAACAGTTTAATAAACAATAATGATAATATATATAGCTTGATTTGTAACATGAAGATTAATCTAAATTAGAAGGAAATGACTGTAGAGATTATGCAGAAGAGATTTGTACCAACCGACACACTGTATGTAACTGAAAGATGGTTTTATGTTTATGTTTTGTTTAAGTTTGTGTAAAAAATAAAAAACTTTAAAAAAATATATATTCTGTGCTATAGAAGCACAGTTTACAGAAGTAAGAGCCGTAAACATTTCCCCTGCTTCCTTTTGGGAGATTAATATGTTTTATAATACTTTTTCATACAGAACACCAAATTTATACTTTCTCATTTCCCACCCACCCCACTTTCTCCCGCATTTTTCAAGATGACACAGCCATAATTATCTTCCTGGACCTGTGGTAGATAACATTATTTTTTTTCCCCAGACTTGAACTCTCCCCCTTTGGAGTGAAAGTCTGCATAATAGAGCCAGGTTACTTCCGAACTGCAATCACCAACATGAAAACCTTTCAAGAAAACTTCAGGAAAATCTGGGAGCACCTTCCAGAAGAAACCAAGGAAGTGTATGGAGAGAGTTATTATAATTCAAGTGAGTGGGATTCCCCCTTTTTTTCTTCAAAACCTGATGTCACACACTATAGAGTCCAGGGCTTCTAGTTCAACGGCAGAGTTTGGCAGTGTTTCTTAACAGATGGGCAGTCTGACCCTGTGGTTGTTAACTCTGAATGTTAAGTTTGCTTCCCCCTTAAAGGGGGCTTTAATTCAAGTAAGCCTATCAAAGAAATTTAAAAAACGTATTTCTTCAAGTAGGAAATAAAATATGATTCTATTAAATGATATGATATTCTCTATCAAATAATCAGAATGGGTAGAAATTCTGTCTCACCATCCTTTCCTCTACTCACACACGAGGCGAGGGAGCTGAGTAGAAGAACAAGAGGGTGCCCTTAGCACTACTCATTACCTGTTCTATACAATAGTATGTGGGTTTATGTACAGGTAGTCAGTGTATGGACCAAAATTTAGGTGGCTAAGTGGAGCATGTGTTGAGTGAGTTTTGCCCCATTTTACAACCTTTTGCCACAGTTGTTAAGCGAATCACTATAATTGTTAAGTGAGTCAAGAGGTCGTTAAGTGAATCAGGCTTCCCCTCACTGACATTGCTTTTCAGAAGTTGGCTTGGAAGATTATTCATGGCGATAGCACTTAGACTTATGTACCGCTTCACAGTGCTTTACAGCCCCCTCTAAGCGGTTTACAGAGTCATCCTATTGCCCCCAACAATCTGGCTCCTTATTTTACCCACCTCGGAAGGATGGAAGGCTGAGTCAACCTTGAGCCAGTCAGGATCGAACTGCTGAACTGCTGGCAGCCAGCAGTCAGCAGAAGTAGCCTGCAATACTATATTCTAACCACTGCATCACCATGGGGATCACATCACACCGAGACAGTGCAACTGCCATAAATACATGCCAGTTGCCAAGGGCCTAAATTTTGATAATGCGAATGCTGCAGCAGCCATCAAAAGTGAAAAGAGGTTATAAATCACCTTTTTCAATGCCGTTGTCACTTTGAACAGTCACTAAACGAATGGATGGAAGTTGAGGACTATGTGTATATGTGGGCTTCAAAAATCCTGTTGGAAACCACCTGAAGAATGCCATGCCTATCCTTGCAATTATAAGGGCCAGAAACTCGAATCAAATATTGTAATAATCAATGGGTGCAAACATTAACTTTGTTCAATTGGATTCCAAAATAAATATGTTCTCAGTGTCCATAATATTAGGGAAAAATTATAAGAAAGAGGACATAATAATTATATGACTCATATAAGGAGATATGAAGCTGAATCAGATCAGTTCCATGTAAAATGTTTTGCTGGTATAAATGTATCTGCTTGCCCTCTGTGTCTAGATTCTGCCCTTTGTGTCAAAAATTACTACCCAGTTTTAGAATGTTTGATTTTTGTTTTCTGATAACTAACTTACATGAACTATCCTAGTTTTCTGAATTATCCTAGCTTTCTTTGGGAACTCTCGAGGGTTGGGAACACACCGATTGCTAAGCTGTGGTGGGCATGATGTATGCCTGGGTGGGAGTTACTTAGAACCTCCCCTGTTAATTGGATGAAAGAGATCAACCTTCTTGGGGCCAATGCATTTGGTGCAGTGAGTCACATACCTACAGAAAATTTTTCTACATATTCAAATTATGCTGTTACCCTGAGCATTATTTCTGTCTGAATGCATTCAGATACAGATAATCAGAGTTGGAAGGGACCTTGTAGGTCATCTAGTCCAACCCCCCACCCAAGCGGGAGATCCTACACCATTTCTGACAAATGGCAGTCCAATCTCTTCTTGAAAGTCTCAAGTGATGGCGCTCCCACAACTTCCGAGGGCAAACTGTTTCATTGGTTGATTGTTCTCACTGTCAGAAAGTTTCTCCTTATTTCCAGGTTGAATCTCTCCTTGTTCAATTTCCATCCATTATTCCTTGTCTGGCCTACAGGAGCTTTAGAAAATAGTTTGACCCCTTCCTCCCTGTGACAGCCCCTCAAATATTGGAAGACCGCTATCATGTCTCCCCTGGTCCTTCTCTTTACTAGACTAGCCAAGCCCAGTTCCTGCAACTGTTCGTTGTATGTTTTAGTCTCCAGTCCCCTAATCATCCTGGTTGCTCTTTTCTGTACTTTTTCTAGAGCTTCAACATCATTTTTATAATGTGGTGACCAAAACTGGGTGCAGTACTCTAGGTGTGGTCTCACTAAGGCTTTATAGAGTGGTATTAGTACTTCCCTTGATCTTGACTGTATCCCTCTGTTAATACAACTTAGGATTGCATTAGCTTTTTTGGCTGCTGCTGCACACTGCTGGCTCATATTTAGCTGGTTGTCCACTAAGACTCCAAGATCCTTCTCACAGTTACTGCTATTCAGCCTCATACTGGACTTTGATATTGGACTTTGATATTGAAAGGATTATTAGATATTTTATTAGATATGGCCCAGTGTTCTAGTCTGTCAAGATCCATCTGGATCTTGAGCCTATCTTCTTGGGTGTTAGCTATTCCTGCCAGCTTAGTATCATCTGCAAATTTGGTAAGTTCCCCTTCTATTTCCTCATCTATGTGGTAGAGATGCGATACAATTTTTGAAGGAGACTTGGACTTGGCTGGAACCGACGACCGGGATTCTGTTGCCCTGGTAATCTTTGAGTATGATCCTTTGGGGGCTGAGGTCCTGACGACGGATGGCCGGAATTAGTTGTTTGAGGGTCTTCCAGGAAACCATCGAGAGAGACGACCCCGAGTCGACTTCCATCACGCAAGGTTGGTTCTCAATGGCGACCTTCACTCGGATCTTTCTTGCATCTAAGGATGTAGCGTGGCCGATGGTAATGGTTTGGTGTGCCTCTTCTCGTCTTGTTGGAGTGGCAGGTGCTTTGTTTCTGTAGGAGTGGTAGTTCCATTGGTGCTTCTGGCGATTTCGATTCGCAGGAGGATATCCTGAAGACTGGCTGCAGTTATTCTCCCTGCGCTTTGAGCTGGATCCTCGCTTGCTTCTACAGACCTTTGCGATGTGGCCTCTTTTTCCACAGGAACGGCAGAGTGCGTCGAGGAATTTGCAATCGGATCATGAGTGGTTTGCCCCACAACCCGCGCATTGTCGTGGGAGTCGTTGGTTTTGTTGGTCTCGTTCAGACCGGAGTCGGTTGACCTCTTCCTCGTCACTTTCTGATGGGGATTCCAGGTCCTCATGGTGCGCCGTTGTTGAGTGCCTCTCGGGGCGAGGCGAGGTATCATTCGCGAGTTGACGGAGCGGTGCGTTGGTGAGGCGCATTCAAGCAGCTGACTTCCTGGTTGCTTCTGCTGCGGTAGCGTCTGCAATGGCATCGGCAAGATCGATGTTCCCTTTGGCCATGATCTTGCTTTGCACCGTCTGGTCAACTAATCCCAGAACTATGCGGTCTCGCAAGGCTTCTTCTAGGTTGGAAAACCCACAGAGGCCACCCAAGTTCCGGAGGTCAGCGATGAAGTCTGCAAGACTTTCGCTTTTCCGTTGGTCCCTCTGGTAAAACTCATGCCTACGGACAAGTGTTGGCACTGCGGGTGCATAGTGGGCCGAGGGTGTCCCAGTCCATCGTTTTCACCTCAGCCGGTTTTGCAAGTGATTTCGCCATCTTAAATACGGCAGGCCCACAATGGGTCAGGAATATTGCTCGCTTCTTGCCGGTCGTAGCGTCCTTTAAGTTATTGGTCTCCAGAAACATCTGGAACCGATCCATATACGAGTCCCAGTCTTCGTTTGCCGGGTCAAATGGAGCGGGTGGTATAGCACTGCTGGCCATATTGCCGTTGTTGGTGCGCCTTCAGCCACGTGCTCTGTTTGGCGCTCTGTAGTGTTCAGTCAGCTCTGTTGTCTCCGCATCCCACCCTCGTCGCCAGTGTTATATACTGAGCATGGGCGCAAGGAACGGAGACGAGGCAGAGAACTAGTGAACTTCAACTCTTTATTAATGAATAAGAACAGAGCAAAAACCCTGGGCAGCAGCAGCTCTTTTATAGAGCTGGCTGTTGACCCGTTAACCAATGAATTGCGTTCCCACGTTTAAATTGTACCCAATGAGAGATGTTCAACTAATAGCCAATCAGGCTGCTCCGTAAGGACCAATCCCTGCTCGCTATTCATAGGCCAATCAAAGGTGCAGGATTACGAGCCTGATTTTCTTGTAAGGTTGACAAGTTTTTATTAAATAGTTTTTATTAGTTCATAACACTATCTATTCCACTTTTTTCTAGCTTACTAAGAAGTAGGTTGTGGTCTACTTTATCGAATGCCTTGCTGAAATCTAAATATATACCAGTATTTTGCTGGTCTACTAATTTAATCACTGTGTTGAAGAATGAAATAAGATTGGTTTGGCATGATCTTTTTTAACAAACCCGTGCTGACTGCTAGTTATTACTTTACTTGTTTCTAGATGTTGGCAGATCTGTTTTTTTATTATTCTTACCACATTGACTATTTTATAAACAAAATCCACACTTCTCAGGATATTAATTTCAGGCACCTAAATTTGTAATCAGCAAAAGATGTAGTTGGAAAGAATAGGTACAATCGGGGCCATTTGTATACAGGATTGTTAAATGAGATCTTGGGATGGTTCTAATTTATATTTTGTGAAGAACAAGTGTATTCTTATTTCATTTTTTCCCCATCTCTCTTTCTGTAGTGATTGAAGAAACCTCTAAAATGGAAGCCTACTGCAGTCCTAAACTTCATCTGGTTACCAACTGCATGGAACATGCATTGACTGCTGTGCATCCTCGCTTCCGCTACTCAGCTGGTTGGGATGCCAAACTCTTTTACCTCCCTATAAGCTACCTGCCAACTAAGCTAACAGATATGCTATTTTTGTGGTCTTGCTCTCAACCAAAAGGAAGCCATTAGAGTGGAGAGATGTTAGTTATCAAGAGGAAAGTTTGACACTGATGGATTGAGTTTGGAAACCTATTCTTTTTAGAATCTTTCATTCTTGGGAGGGTTTTTATGGGCTCTCCTTTTTATTATATGATGCTTGTTTCCAGTATACTGTATATCTTAAATTATCTTTCCTTACATCAGGCCAGTTCCCTTGTTACATAATTATTGTGGGTACGGGTATTCCCACTTCTATCCTTTGTAGAAGTGATGCTTATGTGGAATTTCGACTCTAAAGTATTATCAGGGCAAGAGCATACAAAATTTCCCTAAATCAAATAGGACCATTGATCTGTCTAGCTTAGTATGGTATCTTGGATCTTTGAGGTCCTGATAATTGGTGACAGGAAGGATGTACCACCAAATGTCTGTCACTAAACTATGGTTGGGAACTGCCATAGCTGTGCAATAATAGGACATATAGATCCCATTGTTCCGGATGGGTTCAAAGACTGCAGAGGATTCAATAGTCTGTAGGTAGATGGTCTCCTGACTGCGTTCTGTTAATTGGAGAACTAATCTACAAGGGAAACTTGCTCTGAGACTAACTATTTCAGGCACACTTAGGAAATTCTTACACTTCTGTACATTTTTTACTCACTTGGTTTTCTCAGACTCTCCAGGGTTACTGCAAGGTTATTCCCAGACTCTCCATCTGCCAGAGCCCTCTTGAAAGCCAGCTTTACTATTTGTTGCTTAGCTTATTCGCAGCTCTTTCAGACCAATCAGCATAAGTCCTAACCAAATTATGCTGATCACCGTAAGTCCTAACCAAATTAACCTTGCTGGAGCGATTGTGTTAATCTGCCTTTTGTCTATATGGTGGAAATCACAATATTAAACAATGTATGTTTTAGCTTCATTTTTAACATCATCGTGATGGTAACATCATCGTGAAATAAAACAGAGTAATTTAGTTGATGTGGCCCATGTGAACTTCTCTTCCTTTGAAAGTGAAGCAATATGAAGACTTAAAAGAATTATAATGATGCAGGAAAAAAGGGAGAGGAGGAAAATACAGAACTGGTTTTTAAGCTGTGAATAGCCATAGCACATAGACTTATATACTGCTTCACAATGCTTCAGAGCCCTCTCTGAATGGCTTACAGAGTCCCCCAACAATCTGGATCCCCATTTTACCAACCTCGGAAGGATGGAAAGCTGAGTTAACCTTGAGCCTGGTGAGATTCGAACTGCCAAATTGCAAGCAGCTGGTAGTTAGCAGAAATAGTCTGCAGTACTGCATTCTAACCACTGCACCACCAGAACTCATACAGAACATAAGGTGGACATCTGAAAACATACGAAGTGGGTTATATCAAAAGTGGTGCTGGGTTGCAACAAGGACTTTCCAAAACCATCTGGGAAGAAGGCAAAGAGCCCATCATTGTTCCACATTTTTAAAAGTCTAAAATCTATCAAAATAAAAGCATGATGGTTGGAAAAGAACCAAAATCTGTGGCTGTTTGATATCTATTAAACAGGTAGATGACAGTGATTTAATAGCCAGATTCCTTCAACTGGACGCCTTCTAGATTTTATTCTTAGCATTGTCAACTGATAGGTGACCAAGTGGACTAGTAATAATGGGAGGTTTGGTCCAAAATATTGAGCAGGTACCAGGATAGATGAACATTGGAATTTTTGTATTTCAAACATTTATATGCAGCCATAGATTTTAGCAAAATTCACATAAAATTACAGGAATGTTTCAAGGTTGGCAATAAAATTTGTGTATTTGAAAATCTAAAAGCATATGATAAAATCTCACATTAAAGAATCCAACAATCCTTAGAAATATTTGTACATGCAGGATAAGGAGGCAGCATATCAACTAAAGTAAAAACAAATAACACAAATGAGACAATTATGCCCTGAAAGAGCTGTAGAAGCTAAGCCTTCTTCAATTATCTTACAGAACTTGTGAAACTGATTAAGAGTTGTGGAAAAGCAATCTGATTGACTGCAGCTCAGCCAGTAGGAACAATGGTGAAAAGCATTGAGAACGGCAGTTTAGAAATAACTGGAAAGCTAATAGTCCTTGACTTATAACCAGTTGCTTAGCAACCATTCGAAGTTACAACCAATCTGAAAAAGGGGACTTATGAGGCAGATCTGAAGTTCCGAAGGTCGCCACCCCTTTGTGGTCATGTGACTTTGGTCATTCAACAACATGGCCACATTTAGGGCTGCTTGCAGTGTCCCACAGTCATGGTGACTTCATTTTAAGATTTTCAGCAAAACTGCACCACAATAGGTATGCCCTTATGACCACTGTGTTCACACAATGACCACCACACACACCCAAAAATCACAAAATCATATTGATAATGTTTTACAACCATTACAACCTACAGTCATGACGGGTAGACTCCATTACAGAACTACCTGTAATCAAGGTAGAACTACCCAAGAACTACCTGTAATCCCCATTAGAGGTGGTATTCAGCAAGTTCTGACAGGTTCTGGAGAACCGGTAGCGGAAATTTTGAGTCGTTCGGAGAACCGGCAAATACCATCTGTGACTGGAGATTTTACATATGCTTCCCCTGCCATGCCCACCAAGCCACACCCACAGAACCGGTAGTAAAAAAAAATTGAATCTCACCACTGATCCCCATCCTTTTGATAAAACCTCCTTTGTCTAATGCTAATCCCTGGCTTGTGTGTCCCGATGGAGAAGCAGCTAGAGCAGGGGTCTCCAACCTTGGTAACTTTAAGACTTGTGGACTTCAACTCCCAGAATTCCCAAATCTGGCTGAGGAATTCTGGGAGTTAAAGTCCACAAGTCTTAAAGTTACCAAGGTTAGAGACCTCTGAGCTAGAGCATTCAGTTCCTGAGGAGACCATAAATTGCCAAAGACATCGATGTTTTTTTAATCATTTTCTTTCATTCTTAGTTCATTAAAAATGTAAGTCATTGTGAATGGATAAAATGAATAAAACTATGGATTTCCTTATTTAACTTTTTTTAAGTTAATGGGAGTGCTGCAAGAATGCAGGAAATGCTGCCACACGGTCACGAATATTGGCTATCAAAAGGGCATAAACATTAGAAAACAAGGTGCTGCCACATTAGATGCAGCTTATCTCAGCCATGGTTTTAGCCGTCCATCATTTTTATTCTATAAAAATGCCTTTGGTTCCTATGTAGAGCTAAAGGATGGTAGCACTTTGTTTTGAAGCTTATCTGTTTCTTATCTAAATTAAAAGAATTTCAAAAATAACCTGGGAATGTGTCCTGGCAGAGGCCAAGGGAAATACGTGTGGGTAAACTAATATCCAAGATGATCTTGTTGCCTACACCAATGTAGTGTATTCAAATACAGACTTCTAATACTACATTCCTATTGGTTAATACAGCATAATGATTGGTTAAGAACAATTAGTTCCGATTGGCCGCATAAGCAGCGGGAAGTTTAAACACATGCCATTGGTTGTGAGCCACGAGCAGCCGCTATAAAAAGGGCTGCTGCGGCTCGACTTCAGTTGAAGTTACTGGTTGCTAATAAAGAGCTGATTTTAACTCCGGTATCCGAGTCTGCTTTGTCTTGGCGATAGAACACTGGCGACGAAGGTGGGATTGAAGAGACACAGGCCGTAAGCACGTGGCAACGATAGCTGAAGGACCAACGAGATGGCCGGCAACAATTCGCTACCCGCACCGTTCAACCCAGCCGAAGAAGACTGGGAGTCATACATTGACAGATTCCTGATGTTCTTAGAAAGCAACGAACTGCAAGGAATCACTGACCAGAGAAAGAGAGCCGTATTCCTAACGCATTGCGGCCCGACTATCTTCAAAATGGCCAAGGCATTACAGATGGCCTGGCCAGACCTAAATCGGATGCTGAGAAACCATTACGCACCAGTCGTATCCAATCTCATTAGAAGACACGAATTCTACAAGCGCGACCAACTAGAACGTGAGAGTATTGGAGACTTCGTAGTAGCATTAAGAGACATTGGGGGGGCATGCGAGTTCCTCAACATGGATGAAGCCATGAGGGATCACATAGTCCTTGGACTAAGAGATGCAAACCTACAGAGCAAACTGCTAAACCGACCCAACATCACTGCAAACGAAGCCATTGCTGAAGCAACTGCTGCTGAAGCCGCAAAGAAGTCTGCAGCAAAAATGAAGCAGATGAATACAACGAACAGTCCGAGCCTGAATAAAGAGAAGAAAACAGAGGGAGCCCAAAAGCACGCTGCCACAACCTCTCACCATGAGGATATCGAATCCTCAACCGATTCCAAAGATGAAGACGAGGAGGTAAACAGACTCCATTCAGAAAGAAACCGGAGAGAGAAATGGGAGAGAAAACCTGAATTTCAGTGTGCGGGTTGCGGCGGAAACCACCCGTGATTTGAATGCCAATTCTTGGATGCCACATGCCGGCATTGTGAAAAACGGGGGCAGATTGCGAGGGTCTGCCGAAACAAAAAGAGCTATAGTCCAAAGAGACACGGCAGAACCCCCCCCCCCCTGAAAGCAAAGAAAGGCCAACCGGAAGTCGCTGGAGCCGAGATTATAGAAATCAACGGCTCAATGAAAAGGAAGAAACGCATCAGACAATCACTATTGGGACGGCCAGAACAACAAACACCAAGAAGGTTCGAATCAACGTCCTGATAGAAGGCGAGCCATGTGAAATGGAAGTAGACTCCGGTTTGTATTTATCAATGGTATCATGGAACACAATAAAAAGTTTGATACCAGACATAAAACGTAGAGAACTCGAAGAGCAAAGCCTGATCATCAAGGACTACCAGGGTAACAAGATACCAGTAGTGGGACTGGGACATTTCAAAGTAAAATTTAAGAAACACACTGAGATTCTTCCATTAACCATCGTTGACAGAGATCGCCCCAGCCTGCTCGGGTTAGAATGGTTCGAACCACTCGGAAACAAAGTGATAGGGATCAACAGTGTCACCATGACAGACTGGGAGAAAGATCTGATGGAGGAATTCCATGACGTATTCGACGGGACCTTAGGCAAGTACCGTGGGACCCCTATATCATTTAGCTTAAACTCGAACGTAGCCCCCATCA